CAGGACAGAATCCAAACCCGGCGCTCCCCTGGTGACAGGACGCCTTAACACAAAGTTTTAAAGAGCCTTGTCAAGTCCCCTCGCCTCCTAACCCTGCGGTGTAGCTTCATAACTTAGTTAAGTTGATCTAAGTCTGTGCTGCTGTTAGAAGGAACAGGCCCCCCTAGACGGTACTGCTGCTCACAGGGGCACCGGATTAGAGAGACACCTGATTGAGAAGAACCTTAAAATTTAAAATAAATAAACAAAACATTGTAAGACAGCTCTCTTCCATACACTAAGTGCAAGCTGCAGTAGCTACAGCGTGTGTAGCTCTTCTGCAACCAGCAAAGCCGCTCTTTACCTGAAATAACTCCGAGCTGACCATGCCTTACCTGCTTGCACGCACCTCTTCCCGTCCTCATGAAGGGTGTAATCCCTTGCGCAGGAACACACCACGTGAAAGGCGCTGCTGCTGTCCCTGCAGTACTGCCAGCACCCGCCGTTCTTGAACCAGCATTCAAACTTTTCTGCGATGGAAACACACAGGCATTCGCTTATTGGTTATTGCTGCGCATGGACCCCTGAGCAGCGCACAGCTTCTAGCACTATTATTGTATGAAAGAAAGTAGGAAAAAAATCTGCTGAAATCTCGCAGGGAAACAGAAGGAACTACCTGTTACGGTTCCAGAAAACCCGCTGATTTGCAGCAAACCAAACACATTGCCTTATGTCTATTGTTGTTCGTCTGTTTCTACCATTTTCTTATTCGCCAGCTTTGTCTTGAGGCCACAGCTGGGCTCTAGGCCTTTCTGCCTGTAGAGCAGAGGCAAGAAAATGCCTGGAAGAGCAAACACTTCTAAATGCATCCAGTTTTGATCCATCTGCACATCTTATCTTTTATATCATGACAAATTTAAAGTACTAGACATTTTAGTGGGGGCCAAGTCTGCAAGAAATTGACGGAGTTTTTTATACATTGTTACATTTAAAAAAAAAATGGTGTTTAATTGCTTCACTGTAAAAAGAAAAGGTCGACAAAAGCACTTGGGGGAAAAAAAAAATTACTTATGATTCATAGTTTCCACATCAGTTTGGCTTTTGCTGTAATTTCATGCCTCAGTCATTTGCAAACCAGATACAGTATTTCAGAGGACCAAAAATCTGGTAAGAGATAGGCAGCTTTTCTACTTCATTTTTCATCGTTCGTATATTACAACACAAATACAATTTTTTTTTGGTTTACACTAAGCTTTGGCTAATTTGTTTGATGCATTTACTCAATGAAATTAAAAAGAGCATAGGGCCTCACCATGAATGATCTCCAGTGCAAGCGTCTATGGCAGGAGTTACTGGACTTCTTATCACTCTAAAGTGATAAAAAGAGGTAATTCCCTGCCCTTTCTTGGGGGAAGATGGGAGGCGGCCATGTGCCTTCTCAGGGCCTGCGCAGATGAGTGCAAGAGCCCCGAACTGCAGCTGCTGTATGACAGGAGGTGGTGCTACCCTCTTCCGCACCGCAGAGCTAGAAGTAGCTACAGCCGCTGCCACAACACGATTCCCTTCCCAGGGTGGTGGTGCCCCAACGTGTCATATAAGAAAACACCGTTCTACTGTATGAATCTTAAACAACCGACCAGTTCTGTATCAGACAGATAAAGTCACCACTGATAACCTCAGTGAGAAGCCTGTGCAAAGGTTCAGCTGAAGTATCCAAGAAGCAAATTCCAGCCTTAATCCTTCCTTCACTATGAATGTCCATGTGTCTGTTCCTGTACTCACCTTTTTCACAGTTCTCTCCTCCAAATTTTGGGGGGCAAATGCAGAAATAATTGTAGTGTCTTATTTTGCAGACTCCACCATTGTTACAGGGATTTGTACTACATGGATTTAAACCTAAGAAGAAGAAACGAGGCATAGTGTAATTCCAGGAATTAAGAGAAGCTTGGCTTTAAACTGCCACATAATTCTTTGTACCCAGAAGGGACAGAAGAAATAGATTTTTTTAAAATTCCTTTTTTTACCTACCTTTGTAATTGAACCAAAACTCCATCTGCAAGAAGAAATCACAAATGAAGAAAACAGTCAATAAGTGGTCATATTGGTTACTGAAGATGTAATTTAGAAAACTGTTTTTTTTAGGATGCATGTAAACTAACATTTTGATTAGAACCATAGAATACATTCTCAGAGCAAATCTCCTGATCATCACCACGCAGCTCGCTTTCAATTGCATCGTGGACCAGCCACAGAGTGCATAAACTGGGTTGTATTGGAATGAAAATCAAACGGAGAGCTTAGATCCATAAACGCTCCAGCCAGTGCAAGGTCTGTGGCAGCAGCCTAGGAGTTTCAAGTGACACCCCCCCCTCCACAAAACGTGTCAATGCAAGATCCTCGGCACCGACTGCTTCACTCTGAAGAGCCATTTCTCCTGCGCTGCACCACCTGCTAAAGAAGACATCACCTAAGCATCACGGGCTAGATATAAGAGAAATTAGGCACGTCTATTTAAAACTGCAGTTCAAACTCCTGCTTCAGCAGAAGGTCCCCGGCAGAACGCCTGCGGCCCTGCTTCCCAGCTGGACGCTACTGGGAACGAGGCGTTCCTCCTCTGTATTTGGAGGGGTCTGATCAAGCAAGTGGCCTCTGAAAATGTCAGAATCGCATTGCTGGATTGAGGCTCTCACAGAAATAGGTTTTGGATACTTTTAAGGAATTGTGTTTAACGTTTACACAACAAACCGAGCACTCGCTTAGAAAGTGAGATCTCACAGGTGCCTTGAGTCACCCATCCTGACTACCAAGCTGCAGAACCCATAGGCACACACATGCCAGTGGCTTGGGAAGGATTACTCACAGCTCATTGTTAACTTTCCTCTATTTTTCCTAACACGAAGTTTCTCACCGTTTTCTCCTGCGAATGGAAGATCTCCTTAGCCTCCTCAAATGAACACTTTTCCTCATTGCATTCTCTCTCCAAGTTCCCTGGACGAATCTCTTCCAGAAAATAGTTAGCACGTTTATGGACTTTCAGCACCTCGTGTGCTTCGTCTTTTCTCATAAACACTAGAAAATCAAATTTGAACATTCGATACTGGAAGACAACAAACTGGCATCATTACAGTCACAGTCATGCATGCTTTCAGCTGAGTAAACAATATAAAGGGGAGCAGGAATCTATGTAAACAGCCCAAAGGAAAATAAAATTAGTCTGTGTTCCAACAAAAGACACTAGTAGTTTAAGCTTTCTTTTAGTAGATCGAAAGACCCACTACTGAGACTTGCAGATTAGTGCAGAAATAATCTTTTATTCCACAAGACTGTTGAGTATTGCAGCTTCTTCTTTGGAGGCTGGTTATGTTTTTCTGCCTAACCATCCTGATTCACAACAATTATTAGTTGCCTGGCTGCATGTGCATGTGGAAATAAAGCTGAAAGGAGAGGTTTGGTTTGTATTTGGTGTCAGCTTTGTTGGATATTCAGCAATGGAGACCCAGTGCTTTCCAGGTAGCTACTGTGGCCCCAATAGGCCAGACACCGCTCCTTCATTAAAGCGTCAGTTTTGTACTTACATTTAGTTCATCTCAACTTCGCTTCACTAAGCTATCTGCCCTCCTACCACGATGTCTTAAGAGGTACGACTGCCGATATATTAAGGGAGGAGTGGCCAGAAGAGGGAATATGGCAGTAAGATCCTCCCCACATACCCCCTGATGCTCCACAGCAAGTCTTTGCTATGGCACCTCTTGCTGAAGCAGTGCTCCCAGGATTTTCCAGCCAGGATGGTCTGAAGGAAAATCAGGGCTCTCTCAGCCCTTGTGGATGTACTGATACCACGTGCCAACTCAAGCACCTCCGGACACTGACGTGCGGTGTCCGAATTGAGCCTTGAGTCACTATTTAGAGCAAATGGAGGTTTTTACCTTTTTGTTAAATCTCCACAAGTGTGGCCCTATATCCAAACCCCATCCATCTGGTTGTGGAAAAACTGCTGCTAAGAAGTGCTCTAAGGAGCAAGCTCACTTGGTAATCCTGACAAAGCCTACTAAAATTCATTCAGCAGTTCATTTAACAGTACTCTTTTTCCTAGTCATGGTTTAGTGTCCTGGACAAGTCAAAATCCTTTGACAAAGAATCCAGTTTTGGAGATGGACCATAAAGACACACGTTTCTTTGCAGTTGCAGGATTGGTATCTATAGCAATGACTGAAATTCTAGAATAATATTAAATTGCTTCATTTCTAGGCAATTAGAAACAGCCGACAAAAGCTCTTAGCTGAGAAAAGCTTTGGACAGATCCTGCTGTCTGTCAATGGAAAAAATGTCTTTCACTTACATTGGTGAAACTGCCCTTCACAGCCCTTGAGCTCTGGGGTCATCGTTAAAGGATTTACCTATTTTAAGTACCATCACACAGAGGATATGCCTGTTGTAAAGCCTTCTGGTTTGCAGATACCAGCTCTACTTCTGCTCTTCCTCCTCTGCAAGGACAGCCATCATGATTCGTGAGATCTTGTGCATTCTCACACCTGTTCTAAAGCTCTCTGAAGCCATTTCCAAACCTCGTGTAGTTGTTGTAGTAAAATCAACATAAGGTCTGAGAACACATGTTGAAAGTGCCTAATTTTAGCTTGCCAAATTTGAAAACATTGCCATGCAAAAATAATTCAGATTTTGGGTTCACCATCACAAGAAGAATACTTTTCAACAGGACAGTGGTCTAAGTAGGACGTTAAGAAAGACAGATTTCCCTTGGAAATATATATGAATATTTATTTTTCTCCTGTGCACTTCAGGAAATGCTTCTTCAACCCACAGGACTTTGTGTTCAGAAAAGGAATGTAGTTTCAGTTCAAATGCTAAGATTGTCACAGTAAGACAATTAAGTTAAACATGTAATTCAGAAGTACTTACCTGAATATGAAAACGGACAGCTGCTGTTGATGGAGCACATCAGTAGGAGAAACATCACAAGTGAGGAACTGCTCTCCATTTTTAGTGAACATTCAGTTGCTGATTTCCTTCAGAAGGAAAAGAAAAATGAAATTGGTATATTGTCACAAAACCAACAAGGGTAAATTAGCCTGCAAAAAAGACGAAGAAATAGTAACAAGAGGGCAAGAGAAGGGAGAAAGAAAGCAAACTCTACCCAGTTCATTTTGATCTGATTTCCATTGTTTCTCCAAGTCACACCGATGCTGCACACTACCACAGGAATCCCGACAAGGCAACGTGCAGATTCACCTAGCCCAGGATGCGGTGCGGGGTCTGATGCAAAGCCCACAGAAGTAATAAAAACGCTATGATGAACATGGGAGGCATGGATCAGGCCCAAACTGAGCAGAAGCCAGTGCCAGCAACAGCCTTGTTTAAACTGCGCCGGGTCCAGGCCCAGTCTAAGCTGCACACTTCAGCCAGCAGTTGCTAATGACGGCAGCTGCTGTGTAATTACTGATGGTCTCCTCAAGTAAGACCGTATGCGCAAACCCCAGTGAGGAAACCATCAACCACGTACCTGGCAGCAAAAGTTACAAGAGAGAAGTTTGTATTTCTTCATATTACCTTCCCACGCTAAATAATTTACGAGGATTCGACAGCACATACCTCTTTGCTATCTGTGTCATTTTCCAAAAACATAGGATCCAGAATGCATTCACTTTACACAGAACCATGCAATTATACTCACTTTTTTCTTTTTTTTTTTTTAGGGGAAGACAGGAGAGAGATTTGGATGTGTATCAGGAACAGCCATGAGGTCAAGACGTTGATCATTAACCAGTCGCAAATATTGACAGAGGAGAGACAACCTTCTGGATTCTATGAAACACACTTGCAAGCCAAAATCAGAAGAAAATTGTGTGTGTTCCTACACACACACACACGTGTATTCAAAAAAAAAAAAAAAAAAAAGTCCTTAAAACATCCTCCAATAATAAAAGCCACTTCTTTGCAACAATTTTCTTCAGGAAAATTTGGAATTTTTAAGAGAAGATCTCTGACACTCCATCATCTTTCAGTAGGTAGGACCAACTGATCTGGAAAATACACAAGCTGCTCTGTAAACATCTGTTGAAATATGCAGGGCTCCGTGTGTGTAGGAGGATCCATAGCAGTCGCCTGCAGGAAGGCAAATACTGCCCTGTAGTAGTCACAGCTATTCACTGACATTACGATTTCTGCCTTTAATTAGACCCATGTTTTACTGGCTTTGAACACAATAATGTTTTCCCTTGTAATTCAGTATGTCTAGCAAGCTCAGCACTCTCAGAAGCACATATTCTTGGTGCAGGCCTTGGCTGGGAGGCTGCTGTTTAAAGCATTATTATTTAACATCCATTGATCCTTAAATCCAGTCCCAAATAAAAAAGGGGAGGGGAAAAACGAAAAAACGAGAGACAGAGACAGCGACACAGAGATAGCCGACTTCAGTTGCAGCTTACCTCCAACATGGAGCCCTTAGCCTGACTGTTACTTCCTTTATGCACGAATCAACTTCAGCACTTTATGATCCACAGCAGTTCCACCTCATCCCCCTCTGCCCCCCGCCCCAACCAATTCAGTCACTTTACACTTCAAAGATGGAGTCATCTGACCATGGACTATCTTGTTTTCTACAATGCTGTACAGCATCTCAGCATAACAGGGTATTATTTCTTGCCCGTAAGGCCTAAGAAGGACCATGCTGCAAATAAACAACATAACCTGGAAACTAACCAATGTAAACAATGTAAAAAAGAAAAAAAAAAAAAAAAGAAGTAAAAAAAAAAAATTAGGTACCAAGGAAAACAGTACACAAGGTTAGCATATACTCAATATTTAATACTGAAGATCTGACAGTACATTACACTGCATACTGTCACTAGCACATCGCCACGATATTCCAGACTCTCAGTATCAGAATCAACCCTTCCAAAAAGCCGACATCTCATCTATGTGGTGCTGGATCCACTCAAGATACTGACTAACTTTGGTGTAGACTCCAAATTTCTCCCTTCTTCCACAGCCTTCGCCCCAGCTCACCAGTCCTACCAAAAACCAAGTATCCTTATATTTAGTGATCATAGGGCCCCCACTGTCCCCACTGCAGGCATCTTTTTTGTCTCCTAAGCTCCCAGCACAAAGCATGTTGTCAGAGATAGCAAATCTCATCGCCTGGGCACACTCGTTCCGGGGAACCATGGGGATTTGAATGTAACTGAGTAAAGTAGAGTAATTGTTCTGAACATCACTTGTGCTGCCCCAGCCAGTTACCATCATCTGCTTCCCACTCCTTGTCAGCTCCTGTTCTGCCAGGTCGCGGGTGGGAAGGCAGATCGGAAGTGCATATTTGTTATACATCACGGGCTCAGCCAAGTGCAGCATGGCTATGTCATTATCGGAGGTCTCCTTGGTGTAATTTTCGTGGCTCACACATTTGTCAACCCAAATGGTTTGCTCGTCTGCCTCAGTGCGGAGACGATGGAATTTACCTGGAAGAGCAAACAAGAAGATGCTACCGAACCTTCCTTCAGCTTGAACACCAAAGCATCTGGATTACACTGGGCTTTAGGACTCTACTTCATGTTTTTACTTCCCTTGTAATATAGATATTTGTTCATTTTATGTTATAGGTTAACAGTGTTCTTACTAGATGGACGAATCTGTAAACTTTCCATATTTACCTAAATCATGAATACATACAGTACTAAATGAATTGGTACCCCAGAGCTACAGTCATCCGTGGAGAAACTGAAACGCCTATGTATTGCCCTGTTGTGTTGGTATTACGGCACACTTGTGCAACTTGAGAGATCTTCTTCAGGAGGAAAATCTTCTTCGAGTCAGCATTAAAAGCTGGGAGAGCAAGCATACAGCAAAGCAAGACATTTACAACAGTACATGAGCTTTATGCTGCATAACCAGTGCCTGAATAACTGAACTTCAGGATTTATAAGATAAAGACGACTGACGGGTAAGGCTATTCCTTTCTGAAATCTTGCATCTGTATTTTAAAGAATTTTTGACTACTTAAGACTTCTCAGTTGTTATTTGTGCTACGTGATCATGGCCACTTTATGGGTCAAGCAGTTATGGAACAGTAAGCAGGAAACTAAGTGGAAAAGGGACAGAAAGGCAAGAGTAAGTCATTTGTGATACACTGGAAAAGAAAAGACAGAAACAGATCTCTCTGATAGGCTGTGAAGAGAGAGCCCCAAGAGTAACTACCAGTGGCTGTCACATTTCTGAACTGTGCTGTTGGTTAATTTAAGCTTCATATCAAGGCCTACTTCAGTATGTACTTGATAAAAACACTTCTTCAGAGAACTGTCCATTACGCACATCCAAGTTGCAGGCAGGCGCACATCCAAGCAGATGAGGTGGCAGGACATCCAGGCTGACACCTCACCTCTGCCCATGCTGCATGTGTGTGACCAAAGTGTCCCTTCCTTCTCGGTCTCTCTATAAATGAGTATCACCACCTTTTCAAATGTGTGCTTCACAATACCATCCTTCAAATTTGTTCCCCCACCCCCCCACCCCGTTAACTTTTGCCTTCTTTCAGTCTTATTTGAATCTCTCCAGATACAAACTCTAAAGCCAAGTTGCTCTGACTTTGCACGACCAAGGTCTTCTGAAGTCACTTGCTTGCAGTAAGCTCCCCTGTGCTTGAGCCTGTCAATGACGTGTGCAGCTGAGCTCCCCTGTGCTTGAGCCTGTCAATGACGTGTTGCAGCTGTTTGGTTTTTTTTCTGTAAAAAATGTCAGTGTCTCCAAGCGTGGGGACTTTATGATCCACGGTAGTTCCAGAAATAGACTGTCAAAAGACCCCGTAAGTCCAGCTTTGGATCTTGGACTTCCAGACCAATTATTTATGAGTCTCTCCTCTTGCTCCTCTGCAGACAGTCATACATGGCCACAGCAGACACCACAGATGGCTGAAACTGCTCTGACGGGCACCTGTATTAAGTAGTACCAGAAGGACTTGCTATTACCAAGCCATCACTCACAAATCTGTTTTTTCCTGCTACCATGACCTCTCTTCTTTGTGGCAACAGCGTCCGTAGAACCCTTGGAGCACATTTCCTTGCTACCCACTCCGCAGCCCCTGTGGCTGGGGGCTGACTGGCAGATAAGGGGCAGGGGTTTATTCCTATCTTCACAGATACAAAACTCTGCTTTAGGCCTCAGAAATGACTCTGGACTTGAACACTGTCAGATCATCTCCTCTGAGGAAGGCCGTTGAGTTGTGTAGGAGCACACTTTCTGCCAGGCTCTGCATGCTCTGTATACAAGCATGACCATGAGCTGTCTGTATCCTGAGACACCTATGAACAAGCGGGTGACAGCTTTCGCACCGGTGCTGCTGTAGCAACAGCTCCCCCTGCCCCAGCCCAGGAGA